CCAAATGGCCGCTACGGCTGGCGTGCTGTGCCGATCCGAAGCCAGGAGCCAGGTGCTTCTCCTGGTCTCCCATGCGGGTGCAGGGGCCCAAGCACTTGGGCCATCCTCCACTGCACTCCCGGGCTACAGCAGAGAGCTGGCCTGGAAGAGGGGCAACCGGGACTAGAACCTGGCGCCCACATGGGATGCTGGTGCCGCAGGCGGAGGATTAACCAAGTGAGCCACAGCGCCAGCCCAAGTTCTCACCTATTTATCAAGGATTACATGCGCCCCATCGATGACTCCCATTTACCCCAGCTGACCAGTAGTTCCAGCACTTCCCTTCTGTGCAGGCAGACTGCTTCCTGGGTCTGCTAAGGCGTCAGCCCCCTCTTACCCCGTGCCTCTGCTCCCTCCGCCACCCTCGCAGCAATGCTTCCCCCTTTCTGCACTGGCGCTGTCCAAGCCCCACCTCACCTCCCCAGTGGTCCTAGACCCCCGTTCCCTCCAGCACCCAAGTACAACGGAGCCCCTGGTTGCCTGCTGTCCTCCCTGCTTTGCTTCCCAAAAGAAAGGAGGAAACTGCTCCCGGCACAGAGCGTTTTGTGATTCTTTAGTGTCTCTTGCAGTGGGACCCAGTAGATTTCTAAGCTCCCGGTAGATGTTCAATAGCTCCTAGTGGACTGATAGAAATAGATGTCTGCTTAGCTGAGCCAACACTAGACCACCAAATGGTCTCCAAAATGTCAGCCAGGATCTTCGGAATCTATTCAGGGTGTCCGGTCCCAGCTGGACGATGCCTACCCGTGGCCAAAGGGTGTCGGCTCTTCTCATCTGGAAAAGGACAGCTTCCAGGGTCACTTGCAGGCAAGGCTGGGGGCCCGGGGTTGGGGGGGGGGAGAAGGACCGTGCAGGCAGCAGGAGTGATGGACGCAGAGTCCACAAGGACACTCCTGTCATTTCTGTCATCTTATGAAGAGACGCTGCTCTAGGCAGGCAGGTGGCCAGGTTGCAGGAGCCCAGACTGGCTCCAGGGAGAAAAGCAGAGGTCCAGGTCAGAGATACCTCCTCCTCTGTGCCCTCCATGGCCGAGACCTCTCACCCCCCGCCCCCCGCCCCCCGCCCCGCTACAGCTGCGCCAGTCTCTGCAAGTGAAACCCAGCAGTCCCCACCCCCTCACCCCCAGTCCATGTCACTCACTCACAGATATTATTTGATGATTTTTTTTGTTTGTTTGATTTTTTGTTTTTTGACAGGCAGAGTGGACAGTGAGAGAGAGAGACAGAGAGAAAGGTCTTCCTTTGCCGTTGGTTCACCCTCCAATGGCCGCCGCGGCCAGCGCGCTGCGGCTGGCGCACTGCGCTGATCCGATGGCAGGAGCCAGGAGCCAGGTGCTTCTCCTGGTCTCCCATGGGGTGCAGGGCCCCAAGCACTTGGGCCATCCTCCACTGTACTCCCTGGCCACAGCAGAGAGCTGGCCTCGAAGAGGGGCAACCGGGACAGAATCCGACGCCCCGACCGGGACTAGAACCTGGTGTGCCGGCGCCGCTAGGTGGAAGATTAGCCTAGTGAGCCACGGCGCCGACCTATTTGATGATTTTTAAGCACATGGCCTTGGGAGTGGCCTCTGGGGCCCCAAGTCCTAGAGAGCTGGGGGCAGACAGCCCTATTGTCACCCAGACTGCCTCGCTGTGCCAAAGCACTGCCAAGCCCCTGAGAGACGATTTCCTGTCCCTTAAGGAGTGCAGGTGTCCCACAGGATGGAGCGTGTCCTCGCCTTGAGCCCCGCTTCGTGCATTCTTGGGGAATGAGAGCATTTCTTCCGTCTCAATAGGGGAAGCTGGACTACAGCCCGCGTCTCGGTACCCCTATGCCTTGTGGCAGGGATGATCTTACAAAGCCCTGAAATGACCTAATTCTGTTGTTATTTGAAGAACAAAGACTTGTCCACTTGCAAGTATTTTCCCACCATTGAAATTGCTGGCTGGAATTCTCACAACTCAGGAGCACTTGTTAACTCACAGGTACGCCCGTGGAAACGCAAGTCTGTGACCTGTGGCAGGGTCCCTGAGTGCAATGGCAGGGTCACCCTACGGTCCATCACAGACCAGCAAAGTCTGGATTTCTAGGGGTTGCGACCACCATGACTTTTGCAGGTTCCCAAGTCCCAGTGTGACCTGATGGCTGAGAGCAGCAGGCCTCGGCTCAGGGGACCCACGGAGGCACGGAGAATGGGTCAGGCCTCGGGTCAGGGGACCCACGGAGGCACGGAGAATGGGTCAGGTCTCGGGTGGCCGGGTCCTCCTCTAGTGGAGAGCAGGGTCCCAGGAGAGGCCCTTCCTCCTGGCCATTCAACGTGGTGCGTGGGCCTGCAGCGTCCTCTGGCTGTTTGTTTTAGAAATACAGACCCCTAGAGCCTACCCCAACCCACTGAATTAGATCTGCCTTTGACAAGCCCCCGGATGAATGGCAGGCAGTGGAAGCTGGAGTGGGCGTGTCCAGGACGGAATCTTTCAGGGCC